AGGTCACGGCAACTAGCAGCCGCTCCCGGCGCGGCCAGGGTGGGCCAGGGCGCCGGGGTGGGCCCGGCCAGGGCGTGGAGCGGCGCGGCCCCCTCCACTGGTATCCGGACCGGACGCGGGGCGCGGCGGGCCGGAGCGCATCCCTCGCTGCGATTACCGCTCTATTTTTCATGAGCGCGCCGGCAGATTTATTTTGGCGGTCGGCGGTGGCGGTTGGTGCGCGGGGCGGGGCGGGGCCGCGGCTGGCCGGTGCCAGTGATTTCAATCCGCCGCGGTCCAGCGTGCGTGGCGTGCGTGGCGGCGGCCCACGCGTGTCGGCGCGTGGCGGCATGGGGCCAGGCCGATGGGGCGGTGGGCGCGCCAGACAATGGCGGGGTAATGGGATTGCGGTGGACGCCACCGCCGGGGCGCTGCAGCCTGTCCGAGAGTCGTTTTCGTCGCTTTGCCTCTCTCTCGCACTCGGGCACCCCGCTTGGAGGTGCGAGAGAGACAGAGCGACGGAAACGACTCTCGGAAACTAGTCTGCTGCTGCAACCAGGCTGCGAATCGCCAAGCTGGCCGAGACAAACCTAAACGGCCTCGCGTGGGACTAACACGCCGCGCCGCTGCGCAGGCTGACTCCGAACAGGGCTTCGTCGCTCCACAGCGTCTGTCTCGCACACCAACCCAACACCCCCACGAGTGCGAGAAGGAGGCAGCACAGCGACGGCGCTCCGTTCGCGTGTGCTGGCTGGGTCACGGCGGTCATCGTCAACAAATTAGCGGTCCGGGTGCTGGGGATTGGATTGAGGCGGGATGGGGGCTCACCGGCCGTCGCCGTCCGTCCTCGTTTTTGCCCCATGGGCGCCAGGGCGCGCCGGGACGCGCAGATGTGACGCGGCGCCAAAAGGCCGCGGAAAAAGGGCGCGATGAGGCCGCTGCGCGCTGCGTGTTTAGGCGGGCGGCGGCGCGGCCCACCCCCTCGGAGCATACGGCAGCACCGCGGCACCGCGGCACGGAGGAGGAGGGAGATTTGGAATGCTTGCCTGAAATATTGGCTCATTCTGCGCCGGGGTGCGTGGCGGGGCGTGGCGTGGGGGGGCGGGGCGGGCCCGGACGAATCCCCCTCCTGACCGCGCCGCGCCAGGGACTGGCATGAATATGGAATCAACGCATACTTCAAGGCAGGTGGGATGGAATGGACCTCGTAATCCACCAGCTCCACTCGGCTCCACAGCGATGCCTCTCGGGTCGGACTGCTTACCAGGACGACGACGACTCCGCCGCAGAGGTCTCGCCTCGAGCGCGACAGTGTCACGGCAGCCGAAGCGCGACAGTGTCGCGGCAGGTGAAGCGCGACAGTGTCGCGGCAGGTGAAGCGCGACAGTGTCGCGGCAGCCGAAGCGCGACAGTGTCGCGGCAGCCGAAGCGCGACAGTGTCGCGGCAGGTGAAGCGCGACAGTGTCGCGGCAGGTGAAGCGCGACAGTGTCGCGGCAGCCGAAGCGCGACAGTGTCGCGGCAGCCGAAGCGCGACAGTGTCGCGGCAGGTGAAGCGCGACAGTGTCGCGGCAGGGGAAGCGCGACAGTGTCGCGGCAGCCGAAGCGCGACAGTGTCGCGGCAGCCGAAGCGCGACAGTGTCGCGGCAGCCGAAGCGCGACAGTGTCGCGGCAGGTGAAGCGCGACAGTGTCGCGGCAGGTGAAGCGCGACAGTGTCGCGGCAGCCGAAGCGCGACAGTGTCGCGGCAGCCGAAGCGCGACAGTGTCGCGGCAGGTGAAGCGCGACAGTGTCGCGGCAGGGGAAGCGCGACAGTGTCGCGGCAGGTGAAGCGCGACAGTGTCGCGGCAGCCGAAGCGCGACAGTGTCGCGGCAGCCGAAGCGCGACAGTGTCGCGGCAGGTGAAGCGCGACCGACTCGCACATTACTTTTTCCACTCGAGAGAGTGGAAGTAGTCCAGGGAAATTCAAGGAAACGCTTTCGGTACGGGTCAAACTGCCAATCGGGAATATGACCAGCAATATTCTCATCAGGCTGAATTCAATCTGGATTCAACATTCGAAATCTGCTTTCTGGATTCGAAACCTGAGACAGCAGAAGTGTGGGGTCGGGTCGCGCTGGGATTGAGAGGCAGGTCGAAGCCGGGCGACGGCCCGGGAGAAGGAGGGAGGGCCCGTGGGTCGGGTAGTGGGCCTTTACGACGCCGAGGTCCGGCTGCGGCCGGAGGCCGTGCTGGAGGCCGTGCCGGCGGTGGAAATGAAAAATAAGGCGGCGACGGGATTAGCGTAGTGCCCCCCTTCCCTCCCCCGGTCCCCTGCCGCGTAAAGGCTGACTGTATCTCGCGAGCAGCGTGGCGGGGAGCAGCGGGGAGGCTGGGAGACGGCGAGGCGCACCTCACGTGTAGGCAAATGTAGCCGAGGACACGCTGGAGATACTACATCACCCCTAATGGGTTCGCGCCGTGGCGTCGCGTGGCGTGACGCGCACGCGGGGGCAGCGGGGGCAGCGGGGGCAGCGGGGGCAGCGGGGCAGTGGGGTCACGCTGGGCGGGGTCGCGAGGCTGCCTGGCAAACGAGCCATGTGGGGACGCGGCAGGACGCGGCGACGGCCCGGTGCACAAGGCCTAGTTTCCTGGAGGCCGTGTCCGCGACCGCGGTCTCTGTGTGCAGCCAGCGGTGCGGTGCAGCGGCGAGATTGCGTCCCCTCCCCCCCTCACTCCCAGGAACACTATAATCACTGCAGAGCCCGGTGCCCTACGGTGCCCCCATGCCGCCCCATGCCCCCTGCCCGCCCGCCACTCGCGGGGGTCGTTATTTAAAAGGCGCCAGTTTTCACGGCATGACGGCATGACTGCGGGACAGGCGGGTAGTTAACTAGATTGCCCGGCGACTCTTTTTCTCGTTGTCATGGCCGCCCCGCCGCCCCGGCTGACGCGACCCGCGCCGCTCCCTGCCCCGCTTTTGTCGTCGTTCTCCCTGGCTTGTGATACATTATACGTCATCACGGGGACCCCGCGCGACCCCACTGGGCCACCGGCACCGCGCCACTGTCAAGCTGGCCTCGGCGGCCTCGGGCTGCCCCTGCCGGGCCTGGCCGTGACTGGACGTGACGAGGTGTATACGGGCAGACGCACACGTGCGCGCGCGCGCGCGCGTGTGTGTGTGTGTGCATCCGTCTGTATGCGCTGGAGAGCACGAGGGAGAGCATGCGTGGATGCCTGGTGTATACTCACACGCCTGAATCTCTGCTACCCTGACGCCCCTTGACAATCCCGACAGTTGCCTGGCAGCCCCCGGGCCGGGCCGGGCACACCCAGGCACACCCCGGCAGCAGGTCTGTATTCCCCAGTCCCCGGGGCAGCCAGGGCAGCCAGGGCCCGGGGCAGGGCCGGACGCGTGGGGCCGTCCCTCTGCAAAGGGCGCTGGTCCTGCTCGCCCTGCTCGTGCTGCCAGTGTGTCGAGCCCCCGAGCGGAGGCCCCCGCCGCCCCATCCTTCATCCCGTTGACACTCGAGTCGTGGCGGTGCTGGCGCGGTGCTGGCGCGGCGGTACACAGCAGCATGACAACATGGCCGGGATGGCCATCGGCCGCGAGGCGAGGTTAATGAATGGGTCAAGTTGGCAGGCCTGCGTGGCCGCCGAGCCGAGCCGAGCGGGGCCCATGGTGAGGCGAGTCAAGCCGGTGGTCTTGGTGTCCTCGGGCGCCCCAAGCCGCGATCCACATGACGTTTCGCGACTGGGCGAGGACGAGGACGAGCATGCTGGAGAGTGGCTGTCCAGTCACCGCCAGCGTGCGCCGAGGCGCGGCTCTAGGCTGTGGCCGCAGCGAGTCGCGCTGTTTGGCCAGCACTGCCAGCACTACTGCCGGCTTGGTTGTCATACATAAAGTATTTTACGACCCTCCGCGCGTAAAGGTGCGGCGCGCCCCGCCCCCTGCGGTGCAAGACTGTTCCAGGGGGCCGGGGGGCAGACGGGGCGGACAGACACAGCCATCGCGGAACGGCCACGGAACGAGAGTTGTAAAAGGAACCCTTTCAATTATTCCGCAAATTCAGCGCGTCTCCGCAGCCAGCCCGAACGACGCGCGCAAACAACTCGTGCAGGTGCGGCGCAAACAACCCTTCTCTTTATTTCCTCCCTTTCTTCTCTTCTCCGCAGTTGTTTGTCCGCTCCAACGGCGCAGCGCGCGCAGCGCTACAAGGCACGGCATCGTCATCGCCGGTGACGACACGTGTGACCAACTTTGCGGCAATACTGCTCCCGAACGGAGGCGGGAAGCGCAATCCATGACAAAGGCGTGCTAAAGGAAGAACTCGTTGATTGAGTGCGATTTTCCGCCTTGCATTAAACAAAATGGCTGGCAAAACTCAGAACAAACCACGATTTCTACACATTTTTCGCCACTTCGATCAATGTACGTAAGGCGTAAACGACCTTCCCCGTTTTGCACTTACGCTTCGCAGGCTGCATGCGACCCCGTCCCCTCCTTCCTCCAGCAGCCCAGCTGGCCAGCTGCCTGGCGTCGTGGGGTATCTCGGCGGCGATGGCGATACCCCCTGCTGCTGCTGCGCGGGGTATCGCCGCAGCGCCGCGTCGCCGTTGCGCTTCCCGTTTCACGCCAGCCAGTGACCGTGAGGTGGGCTAAAGTGTCAGGAAAGGGAATGTAAATGAAAGAAATTAGATGTCTTGTGCATGTCGAACGGTGAACCGTAAGCCATTCGTGTTGAGATTCGGGCTCTTGGCGAACACAAGTTGAAGTTGACAGAAGACATCTCGGCGGCAGGAAACAAAAGACAGATAGCTGCGCTGCCAACGCACGGGGGCGGAGCTTAGCGCTGGAGACTCGCAAACTTCGAAGTGAAACACATGACACCGCTCTGTTTTCTCATTCTTCCCTTATTCGATGGTCAAGGTCAATTTGCGTCACGGAACCAACGTTTGGGGCTCCTCTTTCGTTCCGCAGTTTATCCTCCATTCGCAGGCCCAGTGGTGGCACGATTGGCGCAGACAGAAGACTGCGCGAAAAGAGGAGAGAAAAAAAAGAGGAAAGAAGGAGAAGACGGCACTTTGGGAAAATTTGTCGGCCTAGTCGGTTGAAAGAAGTCCATTGAATCTTCCTTGTCCGTATCGCTGCCGGGGCTGAACTATTTCGCTGCCGTTTCACCTGGTTGGAGATTCCAACTTTTGCAGCCCGCTGCCGTCAAGTCCAACACCCTTCGCTTCGAATTCCACTTTTACTTGTAAGTGTTCTGCCGGCGACTGCTCGCTGGGCGGTCGTTGAGCCTAGGGCCGGGAAGCGGGAAAAGTGTTGCACGCCATCCTTTTGTTCTAGAAGTTGCTACTTTTCACTAGAAACGCAGTCCCAGGCGACCTTCGCTGCCGCAAACCATCGCTTCGTGACGATTTGCATCGTTTTTGCGCTGGTCAGTGTCAGCCTGGACCGGGTTGATTGACATCCAGAGATTGACCTAGGCCATGAGGCTGGTCTTCTCGTTGCAACACCCTTTTATAATCAACTTACTTTTTTGTTCTTGAATGTCTGGCACGAAATGCCAGCTCAGACCGATCTCTTTGAACTATTCAGGTTTCTGTGCTCTTTAGGTTTTTTAGGACTTTCTTCTAGAAGCAACTGGTTAGCATTGGGTTCTTTGTGCAATGCTTGCACATTAGTGTTCATTTCTAGTTATCATGAAGGTTATGGTAGTCATTCATCACATGATAATTCTCGACATGTGTTCGTTCTATTTCGCCAGTGTGGCGGCAAGGGCATTGTCCATTATTTCAACCATTGCTCGCTTTGGTGAATGATGTTTCTGTTGTAGATACGAGTGTTCCGTCTTTAGTTAAGGCGTACTCGAGTTTCATTTTAATTAGTTTATTCTTACCGTTTATACATACTGATGTGAATCAATCATTGTGGTACATTGATTGATCCATAAAATTCATTTTATTCTTACCTTTTACTGTTTCATTGCGATTGTGACTCACATCGCTGAAATAGCAGCAATGTCCACCTTCTATAGTTAGCTTTTATAAGTTTTAACTTTATTAAGAAATATATATATTTAAATTTTGGGGAGCATCACAGATATCTTTCAAGTTACCACACATTGGCAGTGGCTGTCTAAAATCTAAGGCGTCCTATTTTTTATTCAAACCATAATTATCACAGAACACGTGTTTCATACCTTTATGGTGCCATTATCGTATGGAATGTGCAAGTAGTTGCAGGAGTGCTGGGCTTCCACAAACTATAGAGCAAGGAGCTTGGAAAGAAACACAAGTGTTTCAAATTTTCTTTCCCATTTGATTGTGTGATCTAGACTTAAAAGCTCGTGCTGAAGCCATGGTGATTCCTGCTTGTACTGTGAGGTGTGTCTGACTTAGTCTAAATCTGGGCACATCAACTTCTTGAATGTAACAATTCAGTCGTAATTTATGACGTTCCCTGGGATAAATGGTAATTGTACCTAATCTCATCTTCACTCATTTGACTTGATCAACGTACTTTAGTGCAAAACTACCATTCTGTGATTTTGGATGCTGTTACTTGATCAAGCTGTGGCCATGAAAGAATTGTTTGGGTTGATGGTTGTTTTTAAATTCACAAACATTCCGCTGTCAGTTCTACGATTGAAACTTAGTCCCCATCGCTGTCTCCTGCTGCTCTCTCATTTTTACCGTGATGCGACCTGGCAAGACTGTGCATTGTTTCTCGCCTCAAGCAGTGGCACAATTTGATGTGAAGTGATGCAGTGAGCAGATGACAAGTCTCGATTGGTTGACTGGCTGGCACGGTGCTGCGAGGGGCGGGTCGGTAGCGTCACTGGGGCCCTAGTCCGGCAGGTGGTTGTTGTCGAGGGGGTCGGGGGCCACTCTGTTGGGGCACACAGTCTTGATCGTCCAGCGGCGTCAGGGCGGCGGGGCCCCGCGCATGGCCCTGGACAGGGTGAGCCACAGCACCGCGGTGATGAGGGCCCCCGCCACGCCCCCCCAGCCCAGCTGCAGGCTCCAGGCCGTCTCGACGCGGCGCGCCGCCATGAAGGGCGCCCACAAGGGGGGCGGCGGCAGGGTGGGCCCCACGGGGGCGCGCACGACGATGCCGGTGCCCTGCACGACGGGGAGGGGGCCCTCGCCCGGCAGCACGCCGTCGACCACCAGCGCGCCCCGGCCGAGCGCGGCGGGGCTCTGCGCGCGCTTGAAGTGGATGATGGTCAGCGTGAAGAGGGCGAAGGTGGCTGCGGCAGAGGAGAGAGGGTTGAGGGTTCGATTCCCGGCGGGGGTTCGCGTCGGTTGTCCGTTTTGGCTCGTTGGCGGTCACCTGCCAGGAAGTAGAGTACGCCCGTGACGAGCACGGCGCTGGCCTGGTGGGCGAACACCCCGAAGGCCCCCACCAGCGCGGAGGACCCCAGGATGATGAGGCACACGAGGGCGCACGAGATGGACAGGTTCTGCATACCTGTGGGGGTTGAAAATGAAGGTCATTTAGATCTTTGGCCGCTTGGCGCGCGCTTGGTTAGTTCGAAGCTACTGGGGATGCTCACGGTGCTGCCACGTCGGGCGGCCGTCCTGCGTCCGGGACGCGGACAGGTAGTTGACGCAGGTCGGCTGGGCGAGGCCGGCGTCGCGCAGGGACGCGTGCTGCTCGTCTGCAACACGATCACCCTGCTGCACATCGCCTCGCGGGCTAAGTTGGTCGTGGCGTGAGGCACTGTCAGGCTGACGTGGCGGTAGGGGCTGGTTCGCGATTCGTGTCTGGCTGAGCAGCAGGTCCAAGGCCGAGGCTGCCGAGACTGCCGAGGTCAAGGGCTCGCTGTCGGCCTGCCAATCAGCCGTGGGCCGCGCCATGGCCGCGCGGCGTAGCGCCCCGGGCCGCTGGGTCTTGAACGGAAGCCCTTTGGCGGATTGATTCGAGTTTGATTGGCCTGTCTGTTAATGAACGACACCGCTCGGCCGTGAGGACGCCGCCGTGAGTAGCAGCCATTAGCTCGTTTTGCTGTGTTGGGCTAAAAGCGGCGCCGCCCCTTCCGCGAATAGAGTTGCCCCAACCCCGTTCCTGTTGGGCCGCCTGCTGCGCGCTGGCGGAAGCGGAGGCTTACCACTGACGGCGGCGCACAGCGTCCAGATGCCGCTCTTCATGGGCAGCAGGAAGATGGCGGGCCCCAGCGTGGTGCTGGCCGTGCTTGCCGCGGGGGCGGGGCTCGCTGACGGCGTGGTGCCCGGTGCCTCCGGCTGCCGCGGACGCCGTTTGAGCAGCCTGGCCACCTGCAGGCCGAGGGCGGCAAGGGCGTTAGGATAGAGGCTAGCATGTGGCGGTCGGGCCGCGCCGTTCGGCCGTTCCGCACCTGGCCGTCGATGAACCAGTCGAGGCGCCAGTGGTGCGTGGCGTTGGCCGTGGCGCTGCGCTGCAGGGCGTGCTCGACGCGGGCCACGCGCTCGCGGTCCCAGTCCCAGGCCACGTGCTCCCAGTGGTCCGTGACGACGGCGGCCACCAGCAGCGCCGTGGAGCAGGCCGTGGCCAGCACGGTGACGAAGAGCGTGGCCGAGCACGTCCCCGACGAGCACGTGCAGCACGCCAGGGCCGGGCTGTCCGGCGGCGTGCCGTCGGCGCTGGCGCTGCAAGCAGTGCAGGCAGTGCAGGCCGTCAAAGGGGTTGGCGGTCGCGGTGCAGCGAGTCGCTGACGGCCCGACGGCGTGCGTGCTGTTCGGGCACTGCTCGTGCCGTCGTGCCGCCTGGCTATAAAGTTGTCAGCGCGCCCCCGCCATGTCGCTGGGCTGCATCCTGCACTAATTTTTTGCGTGTTTTGGGGCATTTGGAGCGCGGCGCGCGCGTGCCGTCACGCGAGGGCGTCCAAGCCTCGCGTCCGGGGCACGGGGCGGCGACGACGGCGACGTACTACATGCCGCAGGGAAGGCCCTGGCGTCTTACCTGTCAAACCAGCGCACGAACATGATGGCGTCGTCGACGCGGTCCTCGGTGTCTGCCGAGTCGTTCTGGCCAGCCTCGGTCACATGGCGGCGCTGTGCTGCGCTGCGCCTTGGTCGCGAAGGCCGTAGGGTCTCTCGTTCTGCCGCCGCGTCTGCCCAGCTCTGGGAAACGGATCCGTGTGCTGCACTGTGCTGGTGGCGCTCGCCCCCGCCATCGCCCGCGGCCCCGCGGCCCTCTGGCAGCGCCCTGCGCCCCCGGGGGGGTAGGCTTGGCGGGCCGCCCGTAGTGTTCCCCCTCCCTGGCGAGGACGACTGTGGGCTTTGTGCCGCCTCTCTTCGCCCAGCTCGTCACCCAGTACCCCGTGCTCGACAATAGCGGATGTTATCGGCCCACCCTCTTGAATTGCCATTCATTCCGCCCGACTTGTCTCTGCCGTCGCCGCCAGGTCGCCAGCAGCTGGCTTGGACAGCATCCCCCACCCCTGGCTTTCGAGTTGACAACCCTGACCCAGAATCTCCTTGAAGTTGGTGTCTGTGGCGGGCCGAAGCCGAACTCGCCCGGTTTGCATGGCTCACTCCCCGTCCCATCCCTGGCCTATGGTTGCTGCCTACTGCCTCGCGGAGGTGGGCGTGACTGGCGGGACCCAAGGGCGCCCCCGCCTCCCCCTCGCTCTCCTGCGCCGCTATTGACGGTCGGAAATGACACGTTTTCGGGAACTATTTCCTGCCCGCCTTTCATCTAACTTGTAGTGTGGCCCGCTGCGATACGAGCTAGCGACTTTGGTTCTCGTGGGCGGGTGGGGCGGGGCGGGTGATGTTGACGCGTGGCGTGGTGTTTTGGCTGGGCCTGGCATTCAATTAGGGCGTCTGCGTCTGAGCCACTGCGAAAATGGGGTGTGGGGCTGCGCAGGCTGCGCGATGTCCATGGAGTGTCCTTGATGTGCTTCTGGCCTTCCCTTTGCTGACGCCTGTCGTTCCTATTCCAGGTCACCATGAGCACCGAGGCCGAGACCACATCAGCCGCCGGCACCGTGGCCACCCCCGCCAAGGTGGCGACCCCCGTCAAGGAGTCCCCCGTCAAAGAGGGTGGCTCGGCACCCTCCACGCCCAGCAAGGAGACCGACGAGGCGCGCATCCAGCTGACGCAGGGCCGCCGCCACCTGCTCGTCAAGGACTACTTCTCCGCCGTGGCCGCCCTGGCCAAGGGCTGCGAGCTGTTGGCGCAGAAGTTCGGCGACACCGCGCCGGAGTTGGGCGACGCCTACCTGACCTACGGCCGCGCGCTGCTGGAGCTGGCCCGCTCCGAAAGCGGCGTCCTGGGCATGAACGAGGAGGGCGAGACCCCTGAAGACGACGAGGACGACGGGGAGGGCGAGGAGGGAGAAGACGAAGAGGGTGAGGGGGAAGAGAAGGAGAACGGCGAGGCCGCCGACGCCGAAGAGAACGGCGCCGAGGCCAAGGAGAACGGCAAGGACACCGAGGCCAAAGCCAACGGCGCCGAGGCCAAGGAGAACGGCAACGGCACCGAGGCCAAGGAGAACGGCGCCGAGGCCGAGAATGGCGCGGACGCCGAAGCCACCAACGGCAAAGAGACCAATGGCGCTGCTGACCCGGACCAGACTCTCAAGGAGGAAGAGGAGGAAGACGACGTTAACAACCTGCAGCTGTCCTGGGAAATCTTGGAGCTGGCCAAGGGCATTTTCCAGAAGCAGATCGAAGACGAGAAGGAGTCGAAGCAGACGTGCCTGAAGCTCGCCGAGGTGCACCTCAAGCTGGGAGAGGTTGGCGTCGAGTCCGAGAACTACACCACGGCCGTGGAGGACATGAAGGCGTGTCTGGAGATCCAGCGGAAGTACCTGGACGAGGACGACCGGCGCATCGCGGAGACTCTGTACAACATGGGCATGGCCTACTCGCTGGCCAACGAGTTCGACGCGGCCATCGAGCAGTTCAAGTCCGCCAGCGTGCAGATCGAGCGGCGCATCGAGAACCTGGAGAAGAAGAAGGGCGACCCCGTCCCCGAGGAGAAGAGCGCCACGGAGGACGCCTTCTACACGGTGCAGGGCGAGATCGACGAGCTCAAGGCGCTGCTGCCCGAGATCAAGGACAAGGTCTCCGACATGCAGGACTTCAAGAAGGAGACCGTGCGCCGCATGATGGAAGGGCTGGCCGAGGCCAGCGCCAAGCAGAGCTCGACGGCGGACGGAGCGGGACCCTCGTCGGCGTCGGCCTCGGACAAGCCCGTGTCCAGCGTGGCCCACCTCGTCAAGAGGAAGCCGAAGGAAGAAGTGAAGGAGGAGGCCGACAAGACTGAGAAGATGGACACCTCACCCGCTAAGGCCTCTGAAGAAAAGACTGAGAAGGTGGAATCTTCATCTGTCGAGAGCACCGAACTGAAGGCGGAGAAAGTAGAAGCTGTGGCTGCTGAGAGCACCGAAGAGAAGAAGGCAGATGACGAGGTGTCTGACAGGAAGAGAAAGCCAGAAGACTCTGTAGAAATTGAAGACCCATCGAAGAAAGCGAAAGTAGAAGAGTCTGCTGAGAGCAAACCGTCAGAGTAAGAAGTAGCCCTAGTAATTTTAATCGCTTTTACACTAATGTTAAAGACTGATTTGAAAACAGAAGCATATATCACTATGTTTCAAATCTTTAATTTTAATGTGCAGTAATCTTAATTGTTAGTTCCCAGTTTTTCTCATGGCATCATCGTTTTATTTAGTTTTTATTGTGATCTCTTTAGTGTGATTGTGATATTTTCTGTACTTTTGTAATAATGTGTGTGTGCTTCGGTTAATTATTAAAGAAGTAATCAGTATTTACCTGTCGTGTATTCTGTCAATCCTAAGCCAAACATTTATGGAACGTTCAAATATTTAACCATTGTTGACTGCAGTCCTTGAAAAGAAATAAGACGAAGGGTTGTATTGTTCTCAATTGCTTTATTCTTTTAAAAAAATTATAAATAATGTGAGGGGATGTTACAGGGCCAAACCAAGGCCTCCCCTATTGAAAAAGAGATACATTCATATTCACATCAAAATTATAAATTAAACAAAAGCTGTTATTCTTAATACCTTTATTTTTAGAGAGGCAAACTTCGGTCAAACAGCATTCAAAAATCTGGAAACCGAATGCAATGGTCTTCAATACATGTTAAGTTAATTTTACTCGGGAAGAATAACATGGTAGAGTCCTGCAGATGAAAATTTTTTAAGGCAGTATTGGGCAGCATAATTTTAAATTCATAACATCGCAATACATTTTACTATGCCATTGCATATTTGAGAGCAGGCTTTAAATTTTGTTCTAACTTGACTAAAGGGCCTGCGCGTTAACTTTACCTGCCGTTATATACCCTATACAATCCAAAAATCAACAAATATAAAGTTTTTATCGTCAACAATTGAGGAAAATGAGGTGTACACTTATTCTATACCCATAGCCATTGGTGATTGTTAATAGGCTTTTAGATATGAAATGAAACACATGAGCATTATCTGTCACAAATATCTATCTTAGATATTGCCAAGCTACGAACTGTTTCTAATCATTATTATAAAAACACCTTGGGTTATCTTCACACAGCCAAAGAAGCACGAATTCAATACTTTCAGTCAGAATGAAATTGGGGACATTCTGAAAAAATGGGGAGACATTAAAGATTATCTGTCGGCTGAAAAGTTTTTCATCCGAGTATGGTACTACCATGTCCATGGATTTTCCATTACATTCTTGGTCATTTACAGTCTTTTTGGTTGAGTGTGGCATGGTTAATAAACTCTCAACTGAAAAAGTCTCCGTGTCATTCAATTCTTCAGAATATAAAAGAAGAGGTACAGTGTCTGACTGCATTCTGTTGTAAAACAAACACTTCACAATCGGCTACCTTGTAAGTTTATCATGCCTATCGTCAACTTATTTTTATTTAACTGATTTCATCCTGACAGGTGGTACATTCATTTCGAACAACAATTCCTGACAAATAGTCAATATACAGTGGTACAAAGTACTCGCTGAACTTCTCTCACAGACAGTATCTCTTTTCCCCACCATACTACACCAAGGCGAGCATTATCAGCTCAGCCCCATGTATACTAATGTAAAAAAAAGGGCAACCAATTAACCCCAGGGTAACAAAACAAACTATGTTATTTTTTAAAAAAAAAAAAGCCTCCAGCGGGAGTTGAACCCTTATCACCAGAAAATGTTAGTCCTCGGCACAGAGGCTGGTCAGGTCAGCGGCCATCGGGGGAAGTGCAGGACGAGGTCGACGGTCTCGGTGCCCCGGCGGAGGACGGCCCGGCGGAGGACGGGCCCGCGCCGCCGTTGGGGTCGCGCAAGGGCCGCGTCAGCTGCCCCATCTGGCCCATCTGGCCGGCCTGCAGGTGGCCGGCGTGCAGCTGCGCCGAGTGCATCTGCGCGTGCTGCGCGTGGGCGTGCTGCGCGTGCAGCTGCCGGGCGCGCTCGCTGCGCATCTCGGCGCGCTGCAGGTGCAGCGGCCGGTACCCGGACGGCCCCGCCATCATGTGGTCCTGTCGCTGCGAGCTGGACTGCGTGGTCCACACCACGTCCTGGAACAAGTCCAACGTCAGTCGGTATACCCCACGCCCCACGCGCGGAGGTCGTCCGCCTGGAGAGACTCTCGCGCTTGGGGTAGCGCCGGGCCAACCCCGGGGGTGTGCCGCGCCGCCGCGCCGCAAGACGAGCACGGGGTAGCGACGGGTGAATTAATTCAGAGCACCACTCGCGTGCCGCGTGTACTTGGTCCTACCTCGACGAGCTGGTCCAGGGCGGGCAGCAGCTTGTCGGTGGACATGGGGCTGAGCGGGTTGGGGCTGGGCCCGGGGCTGGGGCTGGCGCCCCGGCTGGACCTTCCCCCGAGCCCCAGCTCGTCGCCGCTGGCCGAGCACGCCGAGCCCGGCGTCTGCAGCCCGCTGAGGCCGGGCATGCCGCCGAGGCCCGCCAGGCTGGAGGGCGGGCACGGCGCCGAGCCCGGCACGCCGGCCGCGGGGCCAGCGCCCAGCGCGCCGAGGGGGTTCTGTAGTTGCTGCTGCTGCTGCTGCCGCCGCAGTCTCTGCTCTCTCTCCCGCTCGTAGCGCCGCATGCCGAAGCCCATGCTCTTGGTGGAGGACGCGCTGCTGTGCACCGACGCCGTGCTCTGCCGCCGCGACCCTGGCGGAGAGAAGGGGGCGTCAAGCAGCGTCGCGGTAGGCACGCAAATCGCGCTACGTTTCATTGTTTCGTCAAGTTTCGAAAAGAGTGTGCGTTTGAGCGGCTGCTTTTAGCTGTCTAATCTTGAGTTCGTTGGCAGATGATTAAAACGCGTGTCGAACCTTTTCGTGGCAGGTGACTGAGTCCACTACGTCGGCCAGGACTCTTGAAGGACGTCCTTTGTGTCTCTTTTCTGAGCCAAGGACAGCGGCTGGGTCAGCTGGGTCCACGACATGACCCCCCCCCCCTTCCCCTCCCGCTGGACGCGCCCCGAGCCCCGAGTGGTTGCGCGTCGCGGCTCGCGCTTCGATTAGCGCGGCCAGCGCGGGGCCCAACCCTGCCCTACGCCCTGCACTACGCCCTGCCCAGCGCGGCGGGGGGCCCTCCGGCGGGCCCTTTAAAGGGCTCCTTGGGTGAAGGGCACTGAAGCCACCGCAGGCAATCGGCTGCATACTCCTCATGTAACTAGCTGGCGTCAATCGATGCCCCCCCCCTCTCTCGCGTGGAATATCCCCCCTCCCCCCACAAAGGAGCTCCCGGGCGTCGCCACAAAGAAACAGCTTTGCCGCGCGCGTTCTAAATTTGAGCTACAATTTCGCGGCTGGAGCGAAGGGCTGGGCGTCCGGACCCGGCTCTGCGGCTCTGAATGACCCGTAATCATCGGCTGGAAATAGAGGCACACTCGCAAAGAAAGAAAGTTGTTTTCGCTTTGGCGCGCGCTCGCGCGGCCGGGCGGCGAGGCGACGCCTGGGGAGTGGGGACGCCCAGGCGGCCAAGGCGGCCTAGGGACGTTCAAGGCGCCTGCCAAGTGCGAGAGGCCGGCCCGCCGCGCGCCGCTGTGTGGCGGTACAGCCTATCGCCGCCACGGCGGGCGCTCCGCTCGGCGACCCGCTCGGCGACCCGCTCGGCGACCCGCTCGGCGACCCGCGGAGGAAATGGGGAAAACCCAGAAAACTGTCGGTGTTTTGGTGATTCTCTGGTATTGACAGCACGCCCGAACGCACACTCCACTACGTCACACGCGCGCTCGCGCTCGGCATCCACTGACTGCACATGCAGGCCGATGCGGGCCATGCGCACAGAGAGAGCATGCTGCGACGTGCCGCCAGGCTCCGCATGTCAAACATCCTCGAGCGGGGATTTTTTTTTTAAATATGAAAAGCATGACATCGAGCAAGCTACGCCACACAGCAGAGAGGCGTGGTTGACAGCCCCGCCTAACACGGGCACTACAGTTTGAAACAAAACTTGACGGAGAAATGGGTGAAAACACGAAAACACCACACGGATTCATGTCAACTACACACAAGTCGGCCATCGTGTTTAGCACAAACAAGAGTAGCAGCAAGGTAATTCTACGGCAGGCCGTGAGGCGAGCGCTCCTCGCGCCAAAGCGAATCCACGCCGGGATTGCGTTTCTGCGTTCCATTATCGGAATCCTTTGAAAAGAGAAACAAAAGCAAGAGCGTTCTCACGAAAAAACAAAACGGATTCATGGTTGGCGTCCTTGCGGAGATCCGCCCTTGGCGCGAGGAGCAGGCAAACACTACAGAGGGGCTTCCAGGATGGGTCGGGGGTCGGCCGGGGAAGCATTCGACTCGAAGCCGCAGAACGCCAACAAGACTCGGCGGGAAATTCATTTTAAGTTCGTCAGTGAAGTTTGGTGAAATGTTTTCGGATGAAAATAAAGAAGATTTCTGGCGTGAATATTGAGCGTGAGCGTGCTCCTGGGCGTCGCGACGCAGGCGAATGCTCCCTCGACCAGGGCAGTCTGTTCGTCGGGTGGACAGGGGACAGGGTTCGGGACTCGGTTCGGGAGCAGGGAGGGGGGAAGGAGAGTCCGTGAAAGGGGTCTTGCTGTCCTCAGCGTCTGTGTCACGGGACCGCGCGGCAGGATCGGCGGGAGTGGGAGGAGAAGGAGAAGGGGAAGGAGAAGGAAAGGGGAAGGAGAGAGAAGACAGAGGAAAACGGCGGAGATAAAAAGCAGACACGAGGGAGCCGTTTCCGAACGCCTTCCTATTCTAAAGAGGGAGCTGTTTTGCTTCATCAAGTGTGACAGAGGAGGGAAAGGGGTGGGGGCGTCTTGGAGTTGGGTGGGGGGAGGGGGGAAGGTTTATGACACGCAGCCTCTCCCTCTCTCTAGGACACAAAAAGCGCTACCGCCACCAAAACCACTCAAGGCGAGTAGTGGAAACAGAGACACGCATAGAGGAGCGGAAGGGAGTTTACCATGCGCATGCCAGTCGCAGCCCTGGGGACTCGAGGAGAGCAGACAGAGAAGAAGAAGAAGAAGAAGAAGGAAGAAAACAAGAAGGAAAGAAGAAGAGAAAGAGGAAGAAGAACAAATCAGAGCAGACGGCAAAACCGAGGCGGCAAATTCAAATTAGAAAAGCAAGGACGCCGCCTGTTGTGACGTCAAGCCTCCAATAACGGCCTCTCGACCGCCGCGGTGATTATTGTAAGTGCCCCGCCCCGCCCCTCCCCGCCCCACCCCGCCGTGCTGGTGTCCGAGGCCGTGCTGGTGGTCCGAGGCCGGTCAGATTCGTTAATTTCGGACGGGGTGGCGGCGACTCGCAACGACTTGCGGCCCCGGCCTCGGCCGGCCTCGGCACCCGAGGCTAATAATAATAAAAGCAAGAACGGCATTTTCACTCCTTTTTGATTCCTTTTTATGCCGGCGCGGCATGTCCCCTTGTCCCCCCGTCGCTATGGCTCGCAGACTCCCAGACGGCCGGGCGCGACATTGCTCGACCCGATGGCGTGGGGCCGAAGCCTTTTCAATAACGGCACCCCCCCCCCTCGCTGCCCCTCCGTCCTCGTCTAGGACTTATTAAGGAGGGGAAAAAAAGAGCCAAGCGCCGCTTTTATGTTCCTAGAGCAAGAAGTAGCACCGCCGTGCTGTGCCCGCTGTGCCCGCCGTGCCGCCCTTTGACGTGAACCACCTCGTGGCGGATCGCGAGGAGCAGCGAGACAGACTGCAGGGCAGGCTGGCAGGGGCTGATTCAGAGACAATGCACTGGAAGCGATGCCGCGATGTACGGTGCCGCGCGACATTGTGGGGCGCCCTGTGGCGGGCAGGGCACTGCCAAGTTGAAGGTCTTGGCATGGTTTGCCTCAAAATACAGAGAACGAGTGACGCGGGCGAATTTTTCAAAATCAAGTGCCTATGAACGGAAAAAATTGCTCAAATTTAAGAAACATCGAATTAAAAAGTTATGCAAAAAAAGACAAGTAAATATAATGCACATATGCCTTTCCATGGTGAGCGGATCCTTTCAGAAGGCACGGAGGAGGGGGAAAAGGGGCTTGCGTAATCAGAAAGAGTATCCCCATCCCCTAACGGTCCAACCCGAAGAAGGGGGACGTGTGCGCTGTTCTGCAGAACAGCCAGACTCGGATTCAGATTCAGATTTCCTTTCGGAGTGGTGATCTCCTTTGCAACACGCGGGACGTGTATCAAGGCGGAGTGCAGAGGCTCGCCCTACTGCACACATCTCGACGCCATCGCTCACTCACACACACTCCCTCTCTCAAACACACACACACACACGCACGAGCCCACATACACACACATACACAGTCTCTCTCACACACGCACACTCCTTCACACACACACTGGCGTCTGCCCCACTTCCACGATAGCATCCGATGCTGGTAAAGCAGGTCGAAATGGCTGCCTGTACGTGCAAATGCATCGTAACGCGCTTGTGCATGAATCTAGGTAACGCACTGGGGAAGCTTCCCCTCCCCTCCCCTCCCCTCCCCTCCCCCTCCCCGCATGCAATCGGCGTCTGTACCGCAGCATGACTCAAAGTGACGCATGTCGTCACAGCGCGCTGGAGGTTTGACGTCAGATGAAGAAAAAAAAAATTGGAAGAAGAAGAAGACGGAAACGAGAGGACAAGCGGGAGACGAACCGAAGAACGAGGGAGGAAGAGAACAGAAATAAAGAAATAACAGGGGATGGGATGACTAGCGAAAAAATTGTTGGAAATGTGTCAAAACGGGAGAGAAAAAAAATGGACGCATGACTGACCGATGGCGCGGGAAATTGTTACTGTGCGGGGGAAGCAGGAAGAAATGAAAGAGAAAGACAGACGCGAGAAGAACCAAGAGAGAAAGAGGAGGACAACGAGCTGTCAAAGCATTCTCCACAAACAGGCCACGAGACATACAGACAGACAGACAGACGTCAAGCAGACGGGCAGGCACGGGAAGTGTAGCCGAGGTTCGCGCTAGGCCGCTAGGGGTGCCCCTAGGTTCGCCGCTAGGGGTGCCTCTAGGCTCGCCGCTAGGGGTGCCTTCCAGTGCCCTCGTCCGTCCTCGTCGCGCGCACGGCACGCCGCCACTCCTCGCCTCTCTCTCTGTCTCTTTCCTTTGCGAACGTGGCAAATTTTCTACAGCTCTATTTTTTTTCTGTCAGTGTTTTAATTTTTACAGAACAAAGTCCGCGTAGCTCCGGCTAGTCCTTGCGGGTGGACCCTTGTGGCGGGACCAACAGGCTCGGACTGTTTGGAGCTTTCGTCTCGACTCTCTACTCGAAACGTGGTGCAGCGTCGCGCAGCGTCGCGCAGCGCGAGCTACTCTTGGCTACGCCAAGGCTACGCCACCACTACAAATTGGACAGGCTTGCCGCAGGCTTGCGTGCTACAGGAGAGGAGAGAGGCGTGCGGAGGGGGCGGGGCGGGGCGGCGGGGCGCGGAGACGGGGACGGCGGGGACCGGGAGGTTGCCTGGCGCAAGGCCTGGCGCATGGCTGCATATGGCGCATCAGCAACACCGTGCCGTCTACGCACACAAGGCCACAAGGGTTGGCTCCTTCCAGTTTCTGATTTCGGCGACAACACGAACGGGCTTGGCTGGGATGGCGATTCGAGGTTCGAGGTTTGGAGCGGCGTGCCCCGCGCCGCGCCGGAGGGTGTTTTGTCAGACAGGGAGCCGCGGCGCCGCGTCACCGCGTCCTCGCTCCTCAGTCGTCGGGGACATTGTTTGCTCTCCTCGCCGCGCCTCGCCGTCGCATCAGACGCAGCCCACTCGGTCTGCGCTGTGCGGCACCGTCTAAGGGGCGGCGTGGGCAAGGCACTGGTCTCCGCCAACACAGCCAACTCCGTCGTTTTGTCACCGGGACGCCAACAAATGCACAACTAGGCGTGGGTAACGCGGCCCTCGGCTCGGCCGTGCCTCCCCGTGCCGATCAGGCTAATGCGACCGACGGCGTCGTCAAGACGGTCGTCCTCCCTGCGCCGTCCCTTCACCTGGCCCCAGGCTGTCTCTCGCCCTCTGAGCCTGGTGGGCCTGGTGGGCCTGGTGGGTGGGACTGCCCCCCGGGCTGGCCGAGCAGCTGGCGGGTGTGGACGGGGGGCCGGGGGCGGTGCCGGGGGCGGTGCCGGGGGCGGGGGCGGCGGTTCCGGGCGGCGTCAGCGGCGACGACGCTGGCGGCTTGGGTTCCACAGGCGTCAGGGGTGGCGGCGTCGACGTCGGGACGGGCGGGGGGCAGTCGTCATCGTCCTGATCGTCCTCGTTCTCGTCCTCGTCCTCCACGTCCTCCTCGTCGTCCAGGTCGTCGTCCGTGTCCTTGTCGTCGACGGGGGCGTGGGTGGGGACGTGCGCCGTCTGGCCGCACGACATGAGGAGCATGGCGGCGGCCCGCGCCGCACCTGCGCGCGACGAGGACCCCAGTCCGCCCTGGCCGCCCTGGCCGTGGCCGAGACCGCCGTGGCCCAGGCCGCGAGACAGCGACCCCGACACGGAGCGCTGCGAGCCCGAGCGCGACGTGGAGCGGCCCGTCAGCGGCAGCCCTGCGACAGTCAAAAGGGGAAAGGACACAACGTTACTCCACTTCCAATGTCACCGAGCCGTTAGGGTTGGCCTCGGGCTGGCCTTGTGCTTTCCAAGCATCGATGCGGTACGGATTCTTTCTGCCTTCTGTGCGCGACTCGTCCTTCGCATGAGAATGGCCTTCCCGCTTTGTTTCGGCCTCCATTTGCATAAATTACCCTCCGTAATTACCCGCTCGTTGGGCGACGGCATGCTTCTACAGTGGTGCGACTAGCGCAAGCTCGAGAGTGAAGAGAGTGTCGCTGCGTCCAGCCAACCAGGACGATTGCCTTCGAAATTGCCGCCAAAACCGAGCGCGCCGTTTGGCGGCCCATTTCGAAACGGCGCTGATTGGCTGTGGTCCGATACCGAACAGGGCTTCATCGCTCGTCTCTCTCTCGCACGCGCCGGCGGGGCGGCGGGGCGGCGGGTCGCTCCACGCGTGCGAGAGAGACGGCGCGACGGAGCACTGTCCCGTCCGGGACCAGCCCGCTTGCTCGCTGGCCTTGCTGGCATACTCACGCGGCGGTCCGGTGCGGCACAGGCTGAGCGCCATCTTGCCGGCAGTCAGCTGGCGGAGGCTCATCTCGGACCCTGTCGAAACGGCCACAGTGTCTGACCAAGCCTACGGTGTACACAAAGGGTCTAAAGCGACATGTGTTGTTGTCTCGTGTTTAATCCGCAGTAAATGTGTGTTGAATCTGATGGAACGAGTGCCGAGAGAAAGCCTAGGTGCTGGCAATGAAAAACTTTTCTGTTTTCTTCATTTTGAAAAGGAACAAGAAGCTGTCAAGCTGGAAGCAGATTGAATTGAGTATCTAGTTTCTGGTTTCGAAAGCTTGCGCTATGCGCTCCTAAAGCCACGGCCGTCAGTAACAATTTTTTTACCAATTTTACCAGTTTTACCCGATTAATTTTGGCTCTTTTTGATTGGCACGCGGACAAGGGTGACTGTGGTAATTTTGTTTAATTTATGCCTGTGACGGTGGGTCTCCCATAGTCCAGACGTACCTGTATCGCTGGAGAAGAGGATGTGCGAGGGAGCCAGGTTGGCGTTGGCGAAGTGGTCCCGGGGCCGGCCGCCCACGAACAGCCGGAGCACGAAGCAGATGACGCCGGTGAAGAGGGCGATGCCCGTGGCCACCCCCAGCAGCGTGGGCAGGTCGGCCGTCAGCAGCACCAGGTCTGCGCACACCGGCGAACGAGCGTCAACAGGGAGGACAAACGAAGCGAGCGGATATTCGGGGGCGGCGTCGCGACGCGTCGGGGCGTCCCGCCTCGCCCTCACCCCACTGACAAAAGTGTTCTGAGAAACCGAATATCGGTAAAAATACTTTTTTTTTAAGTATAAAATAGTTGAGCTGGAAACTGCTAACACCAAACACAGTCCACCCCCGCACCGCACCACCCCATTCCACCCCTCCCAACGCAACGCAGAGTGAGTGACCTTTAGCAGGTCATTACTCACTACACTGTCTACTGTCTAGCGAATTAGCGCTGACAATCGCGCTGATTGCTGATGACTAGAAGCGGGGCGCTGACGACATTACGCCGCCCCGGCATAATTATTCACGTCCACGCTGTTGTTGTTGTTGTGCGTTCATGAAAAGGCGCTCTGTATGTGCCCCTCCCCTCTGCGTGCTCCCCTCCCCCTTCTTTCTAGATAGTTGGGGAAAAGTTAGGTGACACCGGCCCGGCGTGCTAGCTGTGCTAGTGGCCGGGGCGGCGCCGCTGTCCCATTTGCCCCTGGCGGCACAGCACGGCCCTCTTCCTTTCCCTTCCCTGCCTGGGGCACTGCCTGGGGCACTGCCTGGGGCACTGCCGGCACGGCCCTTCTGCATGGCCCTTCTGTGGGTCACCGCTCGATGGCTTGACTTTTATATGAAGCAGGCCACGCCCCGCCACGCCCGCCGGGGGGACGCCGGAGGGGGTCCTTTCGCCGCAGCAGGACTTCGGCCCAAATTATATCCGGCGAGTCGGTCACCTCCTTCCCGCGCGGCCGGACACGCTGTGGGCGGCCAGTCTGTGCGCCAGCCAATCTGGTTCAGCCACCGCTGCCGCACAGTGGGCCAGAAGACCGGTGGAGTCGCTGAAAAGGACTCGAATCGAACGTGTGACCCCATCATTGGATTCCTCGTTCAGAGCGCAAGCCATTGATGGGGTCACACGTTCGGTTCGGTCCCTAGCGACTCTGAAGCTCGAAGCGCGTCTAGAATTTTGGGTGCCTCCGCTTGTTTGCTGCCCCACTGTGTGAGCGGATACTCACCCTCCGAGCAGAAGGTCCTGCGGCCCTGCTTGTGCACGGCCACGGTGTGGAAGCCCGGCTCGCACTGGCACACCGCGTTGTGGTCCACCTGCGTGCAGCGCGCGTGCGAGTCCCAGTGCTGGCAGGCCGCCTGGTACAGGCACTGCTCGCCCAGCCCCACCGCTGCAACAGACATCAAACACCTTCACCGGCGCGCCGCGGACGCACTGAAAAAGAAAGGGTGCGAAATACGGCACCAGCCACGCCCCGGCCGGTTCAGCTCGAAAATTAGATTTCTTTTCATTTACAGCGAGCGTGAAGCCGAACAGTTATTTCGTCGCTCTCTCTGTCTCGCACTCACGCGGTCGGGTGTTGGGTGGCGGTGGACCCTCGCTTTGAAACAGAGCTCGTTCGTCGCCGCGCTGCCCCTCCCCCCCTCCCCCGGAGTAAATACTGTACGCCACTTGTACCAATGCGGGAAGGTCGAAAGGCACGTGCGGGTCCCCCACCCTTCCCCCGCCGCGCCCCGACCGACACCGCGCTGCCTCGCTGCCGCGCTGCCGCGTCCATCAAGCGAATTGAGGCGCCCTCGCGCGGTCAACTGATTTCCGCCTTTCCGTCCCTTTTCCTCTTTTCCTTCCTCTTTCCTTTTTCCCCTTTTCCGGGCCGCGGTCGCCATGGCGACGACCGCCGCTGCGCCGATTGGCCACGCCACCCGCGGACGCCCGCGGAGCAACAAAAACTCAAAGCGAAACAAAAAAAAAAAGGAGAAAAAACAATGAAAGCAGCAGCGGCACTCTCATTACGTCGCGAACCTGCGGCGATGTCCCCGTTCCCGTGAAAACCCGATTTGTGTTTTGTTTTTGTTTTTTGTTTCCGCGACGCGGCAAAGAGCAGTAAATAAATACGATCGGCGAAACAAAAAAAAACAGGAATGAATAAAAAGGGGAAAAGGGAAAACAAAAGGCACAGAAACAACATTTTGTCGCCGTTTGGTCGTTTACTCCAGGTTACTCACGTGCGGTGCAGCCCCGGATGGGGCTCACCTCGACGGGGTGCAGGTCGCCGCACTCGCAGCGGTGCGTGCTGGGGGAGCAGCGGACGTTCTGCAGCAGCGGCGAGCACGAGTTGGTGCACGGCCCGCCCAGCGTCGAGCCCAGCGGCGGCGCCACCTCTGCGAGACGGAGAACAGAACATTACGGTCAGCACGTCGTCGAGGAGCATGCACTGTGAAATAAAGCAATTTCTCTCGTCTTTTTGTTGTGTTGGGACACTGGGAAGGCTGGAGAAACACGCGGTGAGCAGCGACCGCTTGCCTTGCCCGGGGCCTGGACGGCCTGGACGGGGTAGGTCAGCTGCCGGGGTCACTGTATAAGAACGTGTTGCTCGGCGTGCGGGTGGCCGCCCGCCCGGCCGCCGCCGGCGAGGGACGGTACGGACAGACAGACAGGCAGACAGACAGAGGGGCAGGCGGACGCGCAGACAGGCGGGAACACAGGGAACACAGGCAGCAAGGAGGGGCGCACCCTAAGGTGGCGATCGATAGTGTGGGGCCGGGCTGGCCGTACCGGGCTGGCCGTACCGGGCCGCCTGCTGGAGGTGCCGGCCGTGTTTTAGTTGGGCCGGCTGTCTCCGGGAGGCACCAGCCACCGCAGCCGCGAGGCTCCCAGGGCTCTGAAGACCGCGCCGCCAGAGCACCGGAAGTCGCCGTCCTCCGGAGAAGGGAGGACCGAGGGTGCCAGCCAGCACCGCGACAGCGCGCCCAGCGCCCGGAAAGGTAGCAGGTAGAACGGGTGAGGGGGGGGGGGGGGGATCGTGCCGTTGCCACGGCAACCAGCCTGCAGGCACGGCTGGGTACGGCCGCCTGCAGCGTGGTCGCCATGGCGACGACGCGTCGCCTATGGGTGCTGCTGCTGCTGCACCGGACGCACTGCCAAACGCGATATGAAAAAAGAAAAACTCGATTTTTTTGCCCCCCCCCCTCCCAGCGCCCCAGCGGCCAATTCGCACATTTCCGGAGCACTGCGGCTGAAGCACCCTGGAGCTTTGTTGTACCCTTCCAATTCCATTTCATTCATTCATTCGTTCGTTCGTTCGTTCGTTCGTTCGTTCTTTTCAAAAGGCCGAGAATTGAGAATGCACCTGCTGCTGCTCTGAAATTGAATGGCCGGATGGCGGGAATGGGGGAGGGGAAAGGGAGGGGGAAGGGGGAGGGGAGGGGGAGGGAGGGGGGAGGGGGAGGGGGAGGGGGAGGGGGGGGAGGGGAGGGGGAGCCTAATTCCGCGGAGGGAGGCGGCCCGGGCCAGCCTGCCCCTCTCATTGCCAGCAGTCCGGCCGAGGCAGCTTCGTTTCATCTCTTTCTCGCCACAAAGCAGCAGCACCACCAGCAGCCCCGACCGGCCGACCCCAACCCAAGCTGCTTGTTCGCGGCGCGGAGAGCCGCTCGGCGTGTGTGGCCGCGGGAAAGGGGGGGGGGGACCAGCCCCGAGGGGCTCTTGCCATCGGGCGGTCTTACTCGAAAACAATGGCTGCCGGACGAGATGACGACGGACTCGTTAATAACGACGACGGCGTCCTCGTGATTTGCATATCGGCTGCGGAGCGTCCTCCTCGCTCGCTCTCTCTCTCTCTCTCTCTCTCGCACTCGAGGCCGTCTCGGCACTGCCCGCGAGTGTGCGAGAGAGACAGACGCAGCTCTTGGCGGCGCGGGGAAAACGAGAGGCGCCGCCCTTCCGAGAGGAACATTGTTTCCGCATATCGACGATTCCGCGATTGCGGCCGCCGAGCCGCCGAGCCGCCAGAGCGGAATACGGAATGCCCGATGAGAGGACGGTCTCCGCGACGCGCCGCGCCGCCACGCCGCGCAGCCGCGCATCGGTTCAGTTTTATTGTTTCCTTTTCTAATTCCTGGAGCGTGCGCGGGGGTGCGGCCGCGCGCGCAGTCGGTAAGATTATACCCCAAACGAGGCAAAGTTGAATTACTTTTCAGAAGTGTTTTGTAAGATCGAGACGATAATGTTGACTGGAGTTGGTTGTAGTTTCCCTTCGAGCCTGGTCCGGGTGGTGTTGGTGGTGTCGGCGGGGACGGCCCGGACACGCTGAGCCGGGTAAGCTGGCAGTCCGCAGAGCAAATCCGGCCCAAGCCCTGCAGCCGCCTGCCGCCCTTTCGCCCCGCCGCTGTTGGCCTGCGAGTCGGACAGTGGGGCGACACTTCATTTGCCGCGCCTCGCTAAATGATGGATACGGCCAAACAATCGCCCCTCGCCCGCCCCGGACTCTCTCGGACGTTCGCCGCGAGTCGCAGGGGCCGCCAACGAGGCCCTCGGCGTGAAGGGCCTGGAAGGGCCGGGAAGGGCCGGGAAGGGCCGGGCCGTGCGCCGGCCGGATAAACAGAAGCAGAGGCTGCAGGGCTGGAGGGGCTGGAGGTGGGTGCCGATCAGGCGTGCCGGGGCGACTTATCTCCAGCAGATAGGGAACCGGGTCAGGGCGCCAGGGCCAGAGCGAGGCGAGGCGAGGCGCCTTCAAAGAGTCGGGCGTCCTACCTGTTGGCGTGGTACACTGCGACGCAGCGTGCCAGCACCAGACAGACAGCGCGGCCTAGCCTTGGCCGAGCCCCTGTCGAGTCCGGGGTAGGCCGTCCCGCGGCACAGGCGCTCACAACGGGCCGCCTACCCCGACGCGTCAGGCGCTCGGCCCGCCGCGCCAACGTCTGTCCTCTTCCAAGTCCGGCTTGCCTAGATCGTGTTGATAGGCAACAATCAGGGACGTCTGCAGGGCAGGTGACGCGTCGCGTCACACAGCTCGCCACTCCTTCACGACGATAGTTATCAGTGCAGTGCGTTTCCGTGTTGCAGGTCAACCATGTCGACGGAGGACGCCGCGGGCCCTGCGGCCGAGCCGGAGGCCCTGGAGCAGGAGGCACCGCAGGCCGAGGACGCCGTCAGCGTCCCGCCTGACGCGCCACCCGCGCCAGCCGCGCCAGCCGCCACGCCCACTGCAGCAGCGGTGTCCGCGGTGGCGGCGGTGGCGGCCGTGAGCGCCCCGACGCCCGTCAGCGTGCTGTCCACGGAGCCGCGGTCCTCGGAGCGCGGCAAGCGCGCCAAGCCGCCCTTCCGGCTGTGCTTCACCGTGCCGGGGGTCGTGGGCCGGTCCGCGCTGCCGCCCGCCAGCACGCACGCCGCGCCCGGTAAGCCCGCCGGCAATCAGGGATCAGCCGACGCGCTGCGGCGCTGCGGCGCTGCCAAATCCGAAGCGGGAGAGACAAACCACAGACCAAACGCTGGCCGCAGCGCACCGCAGCGTGAAGCTTTGGCTCAAAACAGCCCGCGGCGTGCTCCGTTTTTCCGCATTTATTGTCGGCATCGCCATCGGCCCGGAAATGGCGGCCGTTCCGGAGTCACGCCCTGCCCTGCCCGTCCGTGTTGTGTGGTCCGTGTCCCCCGTGGCCAGGCTGGCCCAGGCCCTACACTGTAGGCAGGCCGAGCCACGCCACCGGCAAAATGCAGCGCCCCAATTGCGTCCTAAATCTTTCAGGCATTCAAATTTAATCTCCGGCGGGAAGTTGGAGGGCGAGGCGGAGGCGGAGGACCGCGCCCCCGGGCCTGCCAACCTTACGGACCTAACGGCGCCAACTTTTTGACCGACCGTCTGGCTTTGGTTTGACTTTCCTGTCACAGCGGCAGTGTGGCCACCTTCACTCGGTCGTTCATTAAAAAAATGCCGGCCTCGTCCACGTCGGCCATGACGGCCACGTCGGCCAGGTGCGCAAATTAAGTAATCACCCTGCCCTGCGGAGGAGGCAGCCCTGGCGGAGTTCGAGGCCGGCCCGCCCAGTGCCGCCACCAGGACGTCCGTCGCCTCGTTGCCTCTGCTGCACTGCAAAACTCGGCAAAACTTGTGACGGCTCGGCTCGGCTTGCAGCGAACGCGGTGACCGGCAAGTTCTACTCGCGGGAAGAGGAGAAGATCCGGACGCAGCTGCAGCGGGTCGTGGAGGAAGAGCAGGCGGCGCGCGCGGCCGCGGGGACGCTCTGCGAGGAGGAGGCGGAGGCGCGGCGCGGCCGGGGACTGCTGGAGAGCGCCAGGTGGGTGGGGGCTCTGTCTCTCTCCCTCGCGAGGAGAGTCCCGTTGCGGGGCGCGGAGCGAGGGAGACAGAGCGATAAAGCACCGTTCGGAATCGGCTTACAGCCAGCCCACTGCCAGCCCACTGCCAGCCCGCCCAAGGCTCACTTTGGGCGGGAAATTTGATCCGGCTGTCGTGAAGGCCCTCAACTAGCTGCTCCCGGAGGGGGTAACGCGGTAACGTCCCCCAGCATGGCGCTGCATGGCGAAGCGGGCCGTCAGCGCGCTGGGCGTAAATCGGCCGACAAGCTCATTCCGCGTCGTCTGCAGAGTGCCTGGCCCCATTAGGGGCCCGGCCCGGGGCCCGCGCCATTGGAGAGCCCAGTGCCTCTCTGTCTCTCTCGCACCGCTCTCTACGGGACGCCATGAGTGTGTGAGAGAGGCGGAGCGACGAAAGCACTGTGCCTGCCGCCAGGGTGTGTTCGCGCCGTTCGCGGCGAGGGGGGACGGCAGCCACGTTGCTTCTACTGGAAGGTTCCTGTTGTAGGTATGGCCAGTACCCGCGGCCGCTGGTCCCGCCGGGGAAGGGTGACCGCCGCCTGCACTTCGCCAACCGCACGTCCGAGATGGTGCGCGTGCAGTGCCAGATCGCCAGGGCCGCGGCGCTGGCCCCGCTGGCGGGAGCGGCAGCCGGTGGCTACGGCGGCGGCCTGGGCTCCAGGAGGGGAGCGGGCGCGGGGGCCGGAGCCGCGGCGGTGCAGGCCGCACAGGCGGTGCAGGCCATGGGCTGAGGAGATTGTCGAGGACGCCGTCGAGGACGCCGTCGAGGACGCCGTCGAGGACGCCGTCGAGGACGCCGTCGAGGACGCCGTCGAGGACGCCGTCGAGGACGCCGTCGAGGACGCCGTCGAGGACGCCGTCGAGGACGCCGTCGAGGACGCCGTCGAGGACGCCGTCGAGGACGCCGTCGAGGACGCCGTCGGACGCCGTCGAGGACGCCGTCGAGGACGCCGTCGAGGACGCCGTCGAGGACGCCGTCGAGGACGCCGTCGAGGACGCCGTCAACACACTCAGCTTACTAATTCCAACTTCCAGCAAATTGATTCTATTCTCC